GAGACACAGGCAGAGGGAGAAGCAGGCTCCACGCAGGGAGCCCGATGTGGGACTCAATCCCGGGACTCGAGGATCACGCCCTGGGCCAATGGCAGGCGCTAAACCGCTGAGCCACCCAGGGATCCCCTATTTATTTATTTTAAAGAGAGAGAGAGAGCACGCATCCAAGTAGGAGAGAGGATCAGAGGGAGGGGGACAAGCAGACCCCCCCCACCCAAAGCAGAGCCCCACACGGGGGTTCAAACCTATGACCCTGAGATCATGACCTGAGCCAAAATCCAGAATCAGACGCTTAACGGATTGAGCACCCCCTACATGAATTATATTTCAAGGCAACCAAATAGCCTTAGTTGATGAGCAGAAGTAATAAATATGGAAGGAATGGCATAATTAGAAAACCCCCCATTTGGCAACTCCCTAAAAAAATTAGCGATTTAGGCAGCTAGCATCAATGAAAATGAAAAAAACCACAGATGACAACTTAATGAGGAACTGCAGAGCTGACCACACTTGAACCCACTGTAGAGACAGGACTACAGAGCAACACCTACCTGTCACGTGCCTCCTGCCACGAAGTACACAGCACCACCTGTGAAGTACTCTTGCCAAAAAAAGTCAAACCAATCTAAAAAGCTATTAAAGCTAACTTTCAGTTTACAGGAAATACAGAAAATAGAAGTGCAATTTAAATGATCTCATGAAGAAGCGAACAGAAAAATCCAGAATATGGAACATTCTGCAGTATAACTGACCCAGTTTCTTCAAGAAGGTAAGGGGAGGTGAAGGGCGGGGTCACCTGTTCTTGATTAAAAGACATTATTACTAACTACAATATAAGAACAATATTTGTATCCTGAATCCAACAAACCAAGAGTAAAAGGATACTTTGGTTAATCAGAAAAAAATGTGACTATAGACTCAGAATTACAGTAAGAATCATCATTAGATATTAAACCAAGAGTCATCGTTTTCATTGATTGGGGTAATGATTAAGGTTGTATAAGAAAACATTTGTAGTTTTTAGAGATGCATATAGGGCTGAAACTGTCAAAAGGGCTTGCAATTTGCTTTAAATATTTCAGCAGTCACACAGAGAGGGGATAGACGAGGCCAGTACAGCAAAATGTTGCAAAATAATGAATCTGGGTGATATATATGTATGAAGGTTTATTAGTCTACTTTGGGGCATGCCTAGAAATTTTTACAATAAATACAATTTCATTTGAGAGCTTTCATTCACAGAGCATCTGCTGAGAACCTATCACTGCCTTAAGGGCTTCACAGGTACTATTCTGATCCCCACTTTTATAGATAAGAAAACCAATGTAAAAAAAAAAAAGAAAAGAAAAGAAAGAAAACCAATGTAATATCAACCAGTTTGGGGTGTAGCCAACAGATCAGCCAGGCAGCCGTCAACTCAACAAAGCCTCAGAGGCCAAGTGAATGAAAGATTTCTACCCTTTCCATTTCACAAAGCATTTCTACACATGGGCTATAGCATGAGCTGGGAGGCAGTCTCCCAAAACTACGTGATAACCATCGCAAGGAGGAGAGTGGAAGGTGCCAGAAGGCAGAAAAGAGCTGATAGGAAAGGGATACAGGGAGGAAGGTAAACAACAAAACCACAGAAAAGCAACAAGGTGGTGACATGTGGAGATGGTCCTGGAAAGGGGCAGATGGAACAGACAGGAGAGACAAAGGCGGGGAAGAGGAGGTGCTGAAAACTGGAAGACAGGTTTAACCCCAACACCAGTCACCTTCCCTTCTGCCCCCACCCTTAACACCAGCCAGAAAGGAGAAGGCCACAGGGCAGGAGGAGGGGCCAGACAGACACCAAACGCAGCCTCGCCCAGACGCAATTACAGAACTGTGTTTGGTGAGGTGACCATGTGCTCTTCTCTCCCCCTCCCGCCCCCCAAGCAGTCCCTGTTCTTGCCTGTGACCTTCCAAGTTCAGATTTAGCTTCCCCAGAACCACTCTGAGCTCACAAAGGGGAATGAAGGGAAGAGGAAGAAATTACTTATTCTTCTAAGCAATCCTTAAATTCTTTAAAACAGCTTAATCGAAATAGAATTCACAGGCCATCAGTGCCCCATGAAGCTGCTCTCACGGAAGAACCCATATGGCTGGGGCCAGGGCATGAGGCCACTTTCATGCCAGTCAGGCACTCAGGTCAAGGGCATGCAGGGCCAGCTTATGGGTATAAGGCTTGGATCAAAACAATAGGAAAGACATGCCTGGGGGCCTGCATGTGTGTCAGGAAAGGGGTGAGGGTCAGAGAAAGAATCCTTGGTGCATCTCACAGTCTGGCATGAGAGCTCAGGACACAGCAGGTTTGCCACTATCCTCCAGTATGCCCTAGTAATGGGGAACCACCTGCTCAAATTACACATCAAGAACACCTTCCTCCCATAGCAGCATTATTTATGATACCCAAAAAATAGAAATAACCCAGACATCCATCGACGTCTGCAAGGATACACATCCTGTGGCACAGCCATCCAGTGGAAATATTGCAGAGCCTAAAATGAGGTCCCAGCACATGCTACATCATGGATGATCTTAAAAATAATCTGAGATGAGCCCATGCAATGGCCACTTATTGGCTGATTCCATCTAGGAGGAGTGCCACCATGAACAAATCCACGGAGGCAAAAATTAGATTGGTAGTAGTTAGAGGTGGGGGTGGGGGGGAGTGCTAATGGGTATGGAGCCTCTTTTGGGAGGTGCTGAAATTGTTCTAAGGTGAGGCTGTGGTGTGGGTTTGCACAAGTCTGTGAATGTGCTAAAAACTACTGAACTGTATTCGTGAGAGGAGGGTGTTTTAAAGCTGCAGATCGATTTTTTTAAATTGAACTCTTGTTATTGTGATAGTTTTATTTTCTGTTCTCTATTACAAAAGCAGACACACAGGGGAGCCCTTATTTACCCAGATGACAGTCCAATGCCATGAACACAGAGAGAAGCAGCAATTAAAAAAAAAAAGGAGAGACGAAGGTCAAACTCTTTCAACTTTGGTTCACTCACCAAATCCCAATGATTGGGATGAAATATTTCTAGGTAAGCTAAGGGCCGTTGGCTCTCCACACATGGTCCTCAGAGCATAGACGGGCCACACTCCATTGGCCTCTCTGGAACATAGCAGCCAGCTTCTAACCACTGTACTTCAAGGGTTACCAGAGAAACTACATCACTTTGCTAGATGGCTAATTTTTGTAGGCTATATAAAAAATTTACCAAATCCAAAGACTTTCTGCATCAGTTTCTACTTTACTTGAACACAAGAGAACATCATGACTCTTTCTAAAGAAAAAAACAAAACTCTATCCAGCTCTTCCCGGGTGACCCTGTCTAAAGCACATTTTATATTCACTGCTGCCCTTCCAAGAGCCTTTAGAGAATGAGCAGAGAGGGAGAATGACAAATCAGAACAAGCCATCTCACCAACCTGAGTCTATGTATCCTTACCTGTAAACAGAAGGGCCACCCAGAATTCCTGCTAAGGATATCCAGTCTCAAAGGGATCAATCTGCGTCTATGAATCACGGAGACACAACTCAATGCATAAACTGAGTTCCAAGAAACTTTAATACAACCTTGGTTTCTTAATAAAGTGATTTCCTCTAGGATTAAAATAATTTAAAAACTATGACACAGTTTCTCGGCAAAACTTCTCTGAGTAATTCTGAGAGGCAAGTAAGGAGCAAAGGAAGGAAAAGAGCCTCCAATTCTCTTATATTCAGCTAAGGTGATTTCGTGTAAAATCTTAGAATTATCTCTTTATCACATTACTCTGGGCAGATCAACAATTATAGCCAGCTGGCAAGGCCAAACGATGAATCTTACCCTAGTTGAGAACAAAATATTGTTTAGGAAAATTCCTGGACAGCAGGAGATGATTTGGGGGCATAAGAAAAAGAAAAATATGTAGACTACAGATTTTACCTAACCCGGCAGGCAGTCACCTCTAAACAAATCGCCAGCCCTTCGGAAGCCAGGTGAAAACACAATATTCGATTGCTTTGGAGGCCTTGAAACCCCACATGAAGCAATTCCTGCTCAGTTCTCATTTCTCTAGGCACTAACTGCTGGTAATCAGAGAGCATGCCTATACATCCACACACCTGCACGGGCCAGGACCAGCACTGACCAGGGCTGGGTACCAGCCAGAGGGAGATGGATCTTTGACCCCTGTGAACACAACAGGGGAGTCCTAGTGACCTACTAAGTAAGACTCTGAATAGAGCCAGAAGGATAAGAGTAATTGATGTGGAACTAACAATGACAAGCAGCATGCAAAGACTAAAAAGCCCAGGAAAAGTGATGAGATCACATAAGCAAGCCCCACACTTTGGAAGGAGCTGGCCAAACACAGGAGTGCAGTATGTTTATGAAGACACAAGCTTGGGCAGCGGGGTGGCTTAGCGGTTTAGCGCCACCTTCAGCCCAGGGCGTGATCCTGGGGACCTGGGATGGAGTCCCACGTCAGGCTCCCTGCATGGAGCCTGCTTCTCCCCCTGTCTATGTCTCTGGCCTCTTTCTCTGTGTGTGTGTATCTCTCTCATGAATAAAAAAAAAAAAAAAAAAAAAGACACAGGCCAACTCCTTGGCCAACTCACAGGCCAACTCATGAAAAGTACAACAGCAGTGAGGGCAGCTGGGGACCTCAAAAGCAGATCTGAACGGACAGCGTTTCTCTCTGGTTACCAACTACCCAATCCTTTGACTTTGGCAACCCCCCAACTGCCTTAAAACCTCAAACCAAACTAGTCTGTTTCCCAATAGCTTATTCACAAGATATATTACTAGGGATTAAAGTAACCATGCAGTATCTTATTATTACATGAAACCTCCTTCATCCCCAGGTGGAGCTATAAAGCACAAAAAGCACTAGGGGGCTGCATTTATACATGACGTTAATGTCACCCGGAACCACTATGGAACTCATAGTTATGCCAGATGAGTAAGTGGGACATGCCAAATGAGTAAGGGGAACTTACCAATTTTCTGATTAAAAATCTTGTCAAAGGTGATTTCATTTCTCTCCTGAAGATACTTCTGCATCACACTCCGGATACTAAAAGAGAAGAGCAACACATTCTTAGCAGTGAAGCCTGCATCATGAGAAACCATCCCCAGCATGGACAACAAATGGATGTCTTAACCCAAGGCTGCTGGTTGACCAGAGAGCCCTCTTACTGACATTCATAACTGCACAGATGGCCAACAACAACACCTAAAGCTAGAGGCATCATGGCTCCAGGTGGTATCCTCTCCTGTGACTCAGGGCCGATGGGACATGTGGACACTTGACTAAACATAACTTAAGCCCTTACTATGGGAAAGCTTGCCGTTAACCCTACTGTTTCTCAAAATCCACACAAGAATACGCACATGTGACACATACTGCTAATCGATTAATAAGCTTCTTTCTAAAACAAAAGCCAATGTTCCCTGGATATACGACTGAGATTTTTTTAAACCACATTTCTATACATCAACAATAAACAGCGAGAAAACATAATTGGAAGGCAGATTTCACTTACGATAAAATAAGAAGCACCAAATGCCTTGAAATAAACCCTTCAAAATATGTGCAAGAATTTTGTAGGGAAAATTACAAAATGTACTGAGAGACATAACAGAAAATCTGAATAGATGGAAAAGTACACCACAGTCATGAACAAATCTAACATCTACCCAAATGTATCTATAAAATCTATTCAATCCCCATCACTGTTCCACAGTTTTTCATGGAACACAGAAACGATTAGATCTTTATAAACTGTATACAGAACAACATGGGATCTAGAGTAGCAAAATGTTTACAGAGAAAGAGAACATCGAGAACATGGCTTTTTATGAAGCTAAAATAATTAAGACAGGATAAACACATTAATCAATGAAATGGAATAGAGAGCACATAAACATAGAACTTTAACATATACGTAAGCAAGGCAGAAAACTGGAGAAACTAGGCATCATTCAACAAGTGAACCAAAAGTGAAATACCAAATGGAAAGAGTAGAAACTCCCTATCAGACTCTGGTAGGAAAAAAATCAGCAGCAGCACCCCTTTATAAAACTTTTTAAATTAAACTAATTGAGCTATAATCTATATATATGTGTGTGTGTGTGTGTGTGTGTGTGTGTATACAGTTAAATGCATATTTATGTGTATCAATAGATGAGTTTTTCCACATATGACTACTATCCAAGATATAAAATATTTCTTTTTAAGAGATATTTATTTATTTGAGAGAGAGAGGGAGAGCATGAGCAGGGAAGAGGGGCAAAGGCAAAGAGAGAAGGAGAAGCAGACTCCCTGATGAGCAGGGAGCTCCATGAAGGGCTCGATCCCAGGACCCTGGTATCATGACCAAAGCCAGAGTCAGGCGCTTTATCGTCTGAGCCACCCAGGTGCCCCAAGATGCAGAATATTTCTATCACCCCACGAGATACCCCTTTGTAATCAGTCTCCCTGTATTCTAGGATCCAGGCAAATAATGATCTCCTGTTAATTCAGATTACTTGCTCCAGTTCTAGACTTTTAGGTAATTAAAATTACACAATATGTTGTCTTGTGTGTCTGGCTTCCTTCACTTGACATAAGCAAGCTTCCTCCATACTGCTGTGCACATAAGTTGCCAAATAGTATGTCATTGTATGAATATTCCACCATTTGTTTATCCATTCATCTGTTGATAGATATTTGGGTTGTTTCCAGTTTGGGGCTATTATAAATAAACCCGCCTTAAATATTTGTGCGTAAGTCTTTTTATGGGCACGTGTTTTCATTTCTCATGGGTAAATATCTAGGAGTGAAATTGTTGGTCATATGGTAAATTATATTTAACATTATGAAAAACAGCTGAATTATACTCCAAACTGTGTGATGTTACATTCCCACCAACAATGCATGAAATTCCAGTTGCCCCATATCCCTTGCCAACACTTTGGTTGTCAGCCTTTTCAGTTTTAGCCACTCTGTTAGGTAGTGCAGTAGTAGCTTATTTTAATTTGCATTTCTCCCAATGAATAATGATGTTGAGTATGTTTGGACATTATTGGATTACTGGAGTGCTTACATCTCCTGTGAGGTGTGCAGTGAAAGCTCTTGCCTACCTTTTAATTATTTGTCTTATGACTCAATTATAAAATTTCTATGTCCTAGAAACAGGACAGTGTCAGATTTATGTGATCATAATATTGTCTCCAGTGCACACCCTGTCTTCATCTTCTTCATGAAGTCCTTCCAAGAGCACAAGTGTCTAGTCGATGAGTTCCATTTTATTGATGATTTCTTTGGTGGACAACACTAAGAAATCCTTCATATCCCAAGGTCACAAAGATTTTTAATCTAATATTTTCCTTTAGAAATTTTAAAGTTCTAGCTTTTATGTTTAGGTCTAAGATCCACTTCAGGTTAATTTTTATGTATGATGCAAAGTAAAAATTCAAGGTTCTTTTTTTTCCTCAAATACCTAGTTATTCCGGTATCATTTGTTGAAAAAAAAAAAAGTATCCTTTCTCCATGGAATTAACCTGGCATCTTTGTTGATTCAACACTAAATTTGGGTAGGTCTATCTTTGGGCTATTCTGTTTCATTGATCTGTACATCCATCCATCAATATAACACTGTCTTGATTGCTAGAGGTGTAGAGTTGTCTTGAGATCAGGTATTCCAACTTTGTTTTATTGCTTTTGTGGGATTTTTGGTTTGTTTGTTTGTTCCTTTTTTGGCTATCCTTGGTTCTCTGCATTTCCATTTAAGTTTTTTCCCAGAAATTTCTTCCCAGAAAAAGCCTGATGAGGCTCTGATTAGGATTGTGCTGAATCTATAAATCAGTTTGGGGAGAATTAACCTCTTAATAATATTAAGTGTACAATTCATAAATATAACATACTTCTCCATTTATTTAGGTCTTCTCTAATTTCTCTCATTGCTATTCTGTAGCTCTTAGAAGTCTTAGCCTTTCCATGCAATTGCCTTCTCTGGTTTTGATATCAGGACAATATGATTCATAGAAGGAGATGGGAATAATTCCTTTCTCCTTTATTTTCTGAAGGAGCTGCTGCATGACAATGTTAATTATTCCTTAAATGTTTGATAGAACTCATCAGTGAAGCCATGTGTGTAGAATTTTCTTTGTAAGAAGGTTCTGAAATTACACATTCCATTGCTTTCATAGAGGTAGTGCTACTTATATTTTCTGTTTCTTCTTGTATTAGCTTGAGTAACGTGTGTCTTTTAAGTAATTTGTCCATTGCATCCAATCTGTCTAATGGAACTCAATTAATAATGATTCTGAGTAAGAGAAGCCAGATCAAAGAGAGAGACAGACAGAGGCAGAGAGAACACAGTGTTTGATTACAAAGAGGCAGGAGCAAACAATGCGGGGGGGTGGGGGAGGAATGATGTATATGGTAAAAGTCTCTGTCCCAGTTCTTGGCACAGAGCTCCTAAGACCCTTGGAATCTCTTAATGATAAATCCTATTCATCATAAGCCCTTTTTAACCCTACCTGAGTTAACACTAATGGAGATGAACCTTAGTGGGCTCCTAGACAGCTTTGGGATGGAGCTAGTTGCCAGAGGAACCAACCATGTGACTGGAGAGTTAGAAACATTAGACCTACCTACCACTTGACATCAGGGAGACCAGAGGCTGGGTTCAGTTACCAATGACCATGATTTAATTAACCATGCCTACATAATGAAGCTTTTTTTTTTAAGATGTTATTTATTTATTTATTTATTTATTTATGAGACAGAGAGAGAGAGAGAGAGAGAGAGAGAGAGAGGCAGAGAAACAGGCAGAGGGAGAAGCAGGCTCCATGCAGGGAGCCTGACGGAATTCGATTCCAGGACTCCAGAATCATGCCCTGGGCCAAAGGCAGGCGCTTAACTGCTGAGCCACACAGGATCCCCCACATAATGAAGCTTTGATAAAAACTCTAGGACAATGAGGTCTGGAGAGCTTCTGGGTGGGTGACCCCAGGCAGGCACGGGGAAAGTGGTGCTCCTGGGAAGCTTTGTGCTCCAGTCCTTCCCACAAGACCCTGCCCTATGGAACAGCTCCTTTGAACTTCCTGACTTGTACCCTTGTACCCTTCCTGACTTGTACCCTTGTTTCTCCCTTGTACCCTTTACACAGTAAAATGAACCATAAGCATAGCACCTTCTTGAACTCTGTGACTCATTCCAGTAAAATATAAGACATAATGGGAGGATCGTGGGAACGCTTAAACTCATAGTCAGCCAGGTATAATGCAGGTGGGCCCCCATTTGCAGCTGGCATCTGAAGTGGGACAGTCTTGTGGGACTGAGTCCTTAACGTGGAATCTGTGTGGTTAGTAGCATTGAAGGGAATCAAATTTCAGGACACCCAGTTGGTGTCAGAGAATTGAGAATTGCCGGAAGGTGACATAATATATATGTTTGTTACCTCAATTTTGGTAATGGCTTCACAGGTGTAGACAGAACTGGCCAGCCTAGACATATGAAATATGTAGAGTTTATTTTACATTAATTATACCTCAAAAAAGCTGTTGTTTTTTAAAATTATTCCACAAAGAGGTGATCAGCAAAATCTTGAGTGTTTAGCAAAAAAATTTCAAGAGGGAAAAATGATAGATGGGGAACCTATAGTTCAAAGAAAAACAACTTAAGGGATGCCTGGGTGGCTCAGCGGTTGAGCATCTGCCTTTGGCTCAGGGCGTGATCCTGGAGTCCCGGGATCGAGTCCCGTGTTGAGGTCCATGCATGGAGCCTGCTTCTCCTCCCTCTTCCTGTCTCTGCCTCTCTCTGTGTCTCCCATGAATAAATAAATAAAATCTTTAAAAAAAAAAAAAAAAGGAAAAGAAAAACAACTTAAAAGAAATAGCAGGTATAATGGATGGACCTTATTTAAAACTCAATTCAAGTAAAAAAAGAAAATCTTATAAAAAATTGGAGAAATGTGGGCAGCCCAGGTGGCTCAGCGGTTTAGTGCCGCCTTCAGCCCAAGGTCTGATCCTGGAGACCCAGGATCAAGTCCCATGTCGGGCTCCCTGCATGGAGCCTGTTTCTCCCTC